AGCAGGAATACACTTGCTGTCAGTATTGATTCAGGCCCACCCAAGCAGAAGATGCAACACATGCCTATGCCAGGAGAGCTGGGGCTGGCCAGCCTGACTTTGCATTTCAGCTGAGCTGACAGCAAAGTTGGGGCAGCTCCCCTGCTGCAGCAGGACTCCGTGGCAGACACTGCCTGGTGCAGGGTGCTTGGGGTAACCCTGAGGTGCTCGGGGTAACCCTCCTCCTAGCTGTGGGTTGCACTGCATGACCAGCTGAGCCCTCCAACTGCCGTGAGGAAGTGGTACCCATGGGGACATACTTACAGAGCCCCTCCTCTGCTCCATATCTTTGTCTTACAGATTTCAGCTATCTGAAGATAAAATGCTGCTAACGGAGGCAGAGAGGTTACCCAATCCTCAACACAGTTTTATCCTCCTTAAAGAAGAGGGTTTAGAAAATAACATGTATCTTACTTCAATATGTTTCAACTAATGTATCTGTGCCTGCTCTTGGTGGTATGACAAACTCATGGTCAGAGAAGTCATCACCCAGCTTTCCTTCCCTTTCATATGGTGCTGTCACCTTGGAAATTGTGGAGATACTGTTTTGGAGGCCTTGACAGTGAAGCAAGTGTCAAGGAAGTATTGAATGCAGACAATAAGCAACAACAGTTAGGACTGAAGAATCACTGGGAACAGAAAAGCTGAAAGATGGTAAGAAAGAGGCCACAGCAGTAATAAAGTAGAAGAGAACATGCCCCTCATGAAATACTTTTCTGGAAGGCACTGCAAGTACTGGATTGTAAGCAGGGAAGCAGACACTGAGGGTGAATGGGGTAGCCCCACACTGACTACACATGCTAAACTCTGCAACCTACTGCTGCTATAATTTTTCGTTTCAGCCAAAGACGAAACATGAGTTAAAGGTTTGTGACTTTAATATTTTGCATTTCACATCTATAACAGCAAGTTGCATAGTCATCAAAGTGTGCAATGCTGAAAATTATAATAATTTGCCTTGGACTTTGGGTGCTGCTTAGAGAAATGCTGCATGTCACTCCCCACTGTGACAACAGCAGTACCCTGAGGTGAGACTGGTGAGAAAGAAAAAAAGCATGGTTGCATATCAAGGGTTCAAAGAAGTAAACAAATACTAGTGAGAAAAAAGATGTGACTTAGCAAAAAAAAAAAGTTTCCAAAAGATGACATTTCTTTAAGCTAGCCTAGGTTCACTAAAAATCACTTCTTTCTCCATGGATTTTTACCTTTGTTCTTAAAAATTGTATTTCCCTAAGAAAAAGAAAGCAGTAACACTTCTAAACAAATACTAAGGACTTGATGTACTGCCAAGGGTTTCTACTAAAGCCTAGGAAAATGATCAGGGTAATTAAAAATAAATTCAGAGTGTGCACATGTTTCATTTTATGTTATAATGTTGTTTCTTTGTGCATGCTTTTTCTGGGTTTAAAAAACTAACAAAGGAGAGATAATTAGTGGGACATTAATCACAGTAATCATAAAGTACTGTTAGACTGTTTTTCGTACTGTCCTAATAATTATTACAGGACTAGTTGTTATTTCACAGCTCCAAGGTGGGCAGAGGTGCTACTGAAGCTTCTCTTTCAAAGTCATGAGCACTTGAGCAGAGTCTTTGAAATCTTCTCCAGAAAAAGAATAGTCTGCCACCATTCATTTTATTATTTTACTAGGTCCTTTTTGGAAGAAAGCACATGTCAATGGCAGTGCAATTGCTGTATCTGGTCTAGCCTCAAAGCAAAATCTAAGCCTGTCAGTTCTTGTAATATGCAGATAAAAAAAGTTATTAATCCCATTGTGCGCCAGCTGCCACACATTCATTCACCGAACATAGGGAACCCACTAAAAGGGAAAAGCATGTGCTTTGTGCCTTCAAATGTGAAAATACACACTCTGAAATGGAATTTGAAAAGAGATGCAAACTCATTTTGCACTATCCCCTGAGTTTACTCTGATTTACTCCCTCCAAAGCACTAAACCAGGAATATTATGTTAAATTAAGCCTGAGGATCCTGCTTCCCAATGCAGCTTCTGAAATTACTTAGACACGTGAGCAAAGAAAACTGTAGATCCAACCTGAGATGATTTGCAGACTTTCACACACAAGTCAAAGCAAATTTGGAAAGTTTCAAGTAAACCAGTTGTCTCCTAAAATGAGAATGTTAGATCACTTCTGGTGCCGTTAAAAATTTTAGAATAGGTTGACTATCCATGAATTCCCACCTTTAATTCTTTGGTTTTTTTGGCTTTGGTGCTTTTAGACCTTCAGAACGAGACTCTGTCCTTATCAGCCCTGATAAAAATCTGTTGTATGGAACTGGTTATAAATTCATGCTGGTAGAGGGGAGAGCAGTATTTTATCTCTTCAGACCAGCTTTAAAATGCATGGGTTGTTCTCCCTGTGGGCCTATGCTTCTCACGTTTGTACAACAGCTTAAATGTTTTCTTCCAGAAAATCTGTATAAAGCTGCAGCATTTGGCTTAAGTGGGTCTTAATCCTCACTGACAGAACAAAGTCCATACTGGACGTAAGAGGCCTGCAAAATATCATAACTAAAAAGTGCTTTTGCTTTGGACATGTCTGCACTCTTCCAAAGAGCATAAATTTCTGCATATTGGAAACATAATGTAAAAGTGGGCACACTGATTTTAATTTCTTTTAATTCAGAAAAACAAAATAGCTGTCAAGATGAATACTTACATGACAAGTTTTAGCACATAACACATTTTACAGTCAAGATATAAACCTCTGAAAAATGGTGTCTAATGGAAACAATGACAGTCCATTCCCTTTCTGACAGCACTAGAAGGTGCTGTAGAAAGTGCTAATAACAAATACAAACCAGATGAAAGTAACTACCACATGGTCTGTTTAAACTGGGCATCACCACTGCATGGTTTTGTTTATGTTGTTGCATACTCGGTTAGTTAAGGCAAGTCTGTTGATGACATTAAAAAGCCCATATTCTCCATGAAGCATGTTTTTAGCACCCACTGTAGAATTACTATTTTTTCTATTTTTTTAACATAGTGCTAAGTCATTAAGCATTTGACATAAACTAAAATAAATAGTAAATTTATAATTATTTTCTCACAAGTTAACAGCATCTTAGACTAGAAAATCAGTGCCAAAACTTGGGTTCCTAAACTATCTTCATTTCTTCAGAATTTTAAAGCATTGTTAACTTTGCTGTGCAAATAATACAGCTCAGGCTCATTAACTCAAATTAATTGGAGCCTCTGGTTGCTCGGCCTTTTTAAAAACATGACAGCACCTAAACATTTCAGCTCAGACATTAGATATGGGCAGAGACCAGATTTCCCTTGACTGCAGATATGAATGGATTGTCAGAAGGCTATGTGTCATGTTGGGACCCCTCTAATCTCAGAATCATAGAATCATAGAATGGTTAAGGTCAGAAGGGACCTTAAAGATCATCAGGTTCCAACCTCCCTGCTATGAGCAGGGACACCTCACACTAGACCAGGTTGCACGAAGCCTCATCCAATCTGGCCTTAAAAACTTCCAGGGTGGGGGCATCCACAACCTCCCTAGGCAACCTATTCCAGCGCCTTACTGTCCTCATGGTGAAGAATTTGTTCCTGATGTCTAACCTAAATCTCTCCTTGTTCAGTTTAAAATCATTACCCCTTGTTTTCTCACTGCCCTCTCTGGTGAAAAGCCACTCCCCAACTTTCCTGAGCCCCTTCAGGTACTGGAAGGTTGCCAGTAAGGTCTCCTGAGAGCCTTCTCCAGGGTGAACACCCCAACTCCCTCAGCCTGTCTTCACAGCAGAGGTGCTCCAGCCCTCTGTTCATCTTCCTGGCCTTTCTCTGGACCCTTTCCAGCAGGTCTATGTCTTTCCTGCACTGAGGGCTTCAGAGATGTACACACTAGTCCAAGTGCGACCTCATGAGAGCAGAGGGGGAGAATCAGCTCCCTTGCCCTGCTGACCATACTTCTTTTGATGCAGCCCAGGATGCATCAAAGCTCTGAATTCCATGGAGCTCAACAAACTGTCAGATTTAATGTCTAGGGTCAAATTTACTAGCTATGGAGATGTTTCCCATATTCTGCTTCACATACTTGTTAGGCTATCCTTGGTTGTAATAAAAAGTTAATTGTTCCCTCTCCTCCCCAAATAAGGACCTTAATCTGGAATCCTATCTAAATTAAGGGAAACATTCCCAGGACTTCACTGGGCTTCAGATCAGACCTTATCTGAACAACACAACTCCTGCTCACCTGTTAATAAAAGTATATTTGATCTGTGCATGTAGCAGATATAGCAACAAGCAAGTGCTACACTTGCCTCCCTGAAGACTAAGCTCCATCCTCATTATTTACTGCTGATGGTTTTTAGTATATTCTATGGAATCTCTGTAAACATGCCATGAATTTTTTTAAGATAAGAAATCAGATCTCGCCAACACTGTACCTGTGAGGTAGGTGTTGTGTGAGGAATTGATGAAATAGTGTGACAGTGGTTGAGACATGTCTTCATTTAAATCCAGTTTCTCAGGTGGAACAACACCATTTTCTTCTCCACTCAGATATCTCATAAATCCATCCACCGATATCTGTCCTGAGAGAAACACAGATCCATGGAGAACATCAATTAATTTTCAGTACAGATTTTGCAACACAGAGATGTTATGTTCTATATACACTTACATGAAGATACGTGTGAGAGACCATATAGTAATCAGACTGACCTTCATCTAGTTACTCATATATTCTTTTGTTACTATTACCTAATTTTCAGCCATAGAAGTTGCAGGTAATATAATGTCCCTTTACCTGTACCAAAGATAAATAATTTCATAACCAGTGTTTACAGATGATCAAGGGCACAGAGGAATCTGAGTTACAGAGGACACTAAGAACCGTGAAAATAAATCTAAGCCTATCAAGTCTTCTGAGGACAAAATAAAGCATGCTTTCTAGAGGAAACCCAGAAAGAAGCAAAGCAAAGCAAGCTAGAAATAGGTAACTTTGACCCCTTTTGATTATCATTCAATGTGTTTATACAGATTCAACCAAACTGCAAAGCAAAGCAAACTAAATGAACCACCTTTCAAGTGGGAACTAA